TCTCTCTCTCTAATACATAGATAAAATCTTAAAAAGGAGGGGAGCGCCTGGGTGGCTGAGTCAGTTAAGTGTCTGCCTTCGGCTCAGGTCATGATCCTGGGGTCCTGAGGTCAAGCCCCGGGTCTTTGGGCTCCCTGCTCATCAGGGAGTCTGCTTCTCCCTCTCCCTTTGCCCCTCCCCCCAACTCGTGCTCTGTCTCTCTTTCTCAAATAAATAAAATCTTAAAAAAAAATTAAACAGCTATATTCTCTCCTTTGTGTGTGTGTGTGTGTGTGTGTGTGTGTGTGTGTGTGGTGGGGAGCATTCAGGTTCAGATATTGTCACTCATTACTCTACCTAATGATATAACATCCTCATCAGTCTGTATAAGACCTTTCTCTTTTTATTGTATCTTTCCCTTCATTCCCTATTTTGATTCCTTTGATGGTTATTTTACTTTTTTATATATAAATTTTGACACTTCATATTTTTCCAGAAATTTATCTGAGCCACTGCTTCCCAGCCTAATCATGTTGCTGCACACATAGAAAATAATTTGTGTATTGCACAGTGAGGTATTTGAGGCCAAAGGCTACAGACTAAGGTTACCTGGTTACCACAGGCCCCATGGATCAGCCTGAGAGCTAAGAGCAGTATCTCAGGATAAATACAGCCCAAATATAGTACTTGCCATGATACACCCAGTTGAGAAGCTTGATCTATACTTTGAAATATATTTGTGTATAGCTCATATCCATCAGTGATGTTTCAGTGAATCACGAAGATAGAATTGTTAGTATAGCTCCTGTTTTTGGTATGAAAAAGTAAAGTAGTAAGTAATTTCATCTTAATTAACCCAGGCCTCAGTCAGCTGCTGCCATGTATCTGGAGGGCAGGAAAAGGGCAGAATGAAATGGTGTCTACAAAGCAGAACAGATACGTTACAATCAGGTTGGGTCACTAGACTCATGTTCCTGGAGTGTCAGGTGGATAGGAGTAGCTTACCATTCATTATAGGCCTTAAATGCCAACTAATTCAGACCTGCAGGCAAAGGGGAGTCTGGTCTTTCAAATTATTTTAAAACTTGGGCAACAAATTGATCCTGGAGATGACAGAAAAACACAAGATAAATTTGATTTCTCAGTGTCATCCAGCACAGCAGTTTTCAAACTATGATGTCAGGAATCTTTTACACTCTTAAAATTATTAAGGATCCCAGAGAGATTTATGGATAATATCTACCAACATGGGCTGCTTTAGAAATTAAAATGGAAATTTAAAAAAATAAATTTTATTAGTTCATTTATAAATGAATATAAATTGATTGTATTGGTAATATAATTAATGTTTCATGAAAAATATTTTCCAAAACAAAAAAATATGTGAGAATAATAGCATTATTTTACACTTTTATAAGTCTCTTTATTTTTTTTTAAGATTTTATTTATTTATTTGAGAGACACAGCAGGAGAGGGAACACAAAAAGGAAGTGGGAGAGGGAGAAGCAGGCTTCCCACTGAGCAGGGAGCCCGATGTGGGGTTCGATCCCAGGACCCTGGGATCATGAACTGAGCCGAAGGCAGATGCTTAACGACTGAGCCACCCAGGCACCCCTATAAGTCTCTTTAGTTATACAGGCATCTGTATTCTCATGTCAGCTCCTGCATTCAGTCTATTGCAATGTCATGTAACCCATGGAAAATTCCACTGTACGCTCATGAGAGAATGAGACAGAAGAATGATTCTGAAGTTATAGAATTATTATGAGAGTGTTTGGACCTTGTAGACCTCCTGAAAGGGTCTCTGAAACCCTGGGAGTCTCTATGGCATGCTTTGATAAGTGCCTATCTAACAGAAAGGATGAATACCTAATTTCACTTTCTTCATTTAGATGATTCATTAAATACCTAAATAAATCTATATAATTTTTTTATCAGAAAAAAGTCTTTTGCAGTGGTAAGTCCTTACTTATGGTTTTGTGCTTCACACTGAAGCACAAAATAGGTGCTCCATAAATATTTGTCAAATAGATAAGTTTTCTTAGGGTCTGTATCCGTATAACTGTAACTGACTAGATGCCAGTGACTTTGTCTTTCATTGCACTCTGTGAACTAATAAGGTCAGGATATGAGCTAATTACAGCTCTGGGATATTAAGTCCACTCCAAGGTCCAGATAATAAAAAAAATTATCTTGGCTTCACCCAGGTGAGCAGGGTCCAAACCTGTCCCTGTTGTATGAAATAAGATTTCTTGCTCTTCTTGCCTTATGCCAGAGATACCATCAGGGGGAACCAAGACTGAACTGTTTCTGGTAAAAATAATAATAACTGCCTTTAAAAATAATAATAATAATAGCAGCTGCCTTTTAATGAATGTTTACTAAATATCAGGTACTGGGTTAGGCATGGATCATGTCATTTCATTTTTAAAATAACCCTGTGAGGTAGATATTATTTCCATTCTATAGGTGAGTAACTCACAAAGTCTCAGACCTGGTAAAATCTAACTCGGGGCCTTTATTCACCTGACTGCTCCTGAATTGAGGAAGAGCCCAGGATCAAGGAGCAAGAGTAGGAATTGGAAAAGCTGTTTTTGTTATTGGATATACCTCTTCATATAATTAATGTAGATGAAAGAAGACAGTGCTTTCATCTCTCATATAGCACAAACTCAAAAGCAAAGAATGACTGACTTAATTACTTCTCTGGATCCTGATCAATCCTGGGTCCGAACTGAGTTCCAACAGAGCAAGGGTAGGATTTGCAAGACCTGTCACTTGTCAGTTACTGAGCAACTACTGAGCACAAACACAGAACCTTGGTAAATACAAAAACAGTATTCCCTGTGTATTCTGTGTTCATAAGGAGTTTAAACGTGAGGTGGGGTGCTAAAATATTTGTACACAGAATAGTATATCAGGAAATATAAATTAAAGTATCTACTAGTGTTGGCCTTTGAATGAAACTTCTGCACCACCTGTGTGAAGGGAGAACATAGATTACAGATGTGGCTAACTTTGTGCTCTGAATAAATATTTCTCCATGGCTCAGGAACTTTGATGATAAGAGTAAAAGAAGTTTTCACAGAGGAAGATAATAAAGTTTCTTATTCTCAGTCCCTCCCTTAGAGATAAATTCTGGATTCAAATGCAGATCAAGAAAATAGGTCAAGAGCACTCCATCTTATGCCTCCCAGTCACAATTTCATCTTGGGACTCCTTAAGATGCTAAGAGAACTAAAACTGGTTTTGACTTATCCTGAAAGTGACTATATAGAGCTTTTCCTAGAGTTAATGCTCACAGAAATTTATAGTTGTGGAGAAGAGAGATCTTTCTCTTTCTCTCTCTCTCTCTTTCAATAGGCTCCATACCCAGTGTGGAGCCCAGTGCGGGGCCCAGTGCGGGGCTTGAAGTCACAACTCTGAGAGCTAGAGTCGGATGTTTAACTGACTGACCCACTGAGATGCCCCTCTTTTTTTTTTCCAAGATTTTTTTTCTTTTTAGAGTAAATTCTGTGCCCAACATGGGGCCTGAACTCACAACCTTGAGACCAAGAGTTGCGTGCTCTACCAACTGAGCCAGCCAGTTGCCCCAAGAGAGATCTTTCTTGAAGAACCAAAGAACAGTTCCTTCATTTTCAAAGATCTACAAGTTAAAAACTAATTAAAATCAATGATAACACCATGGAATCATAGATATAGAAACAAATCTTAGGAATCATCTCATTACTTCTTCTAGATGATGAAACCAAGACGCAAGAGTTAAGTGACTTGACTAAGTTTATATGGCTTATTAGTGGTAGATTTGGGAATAGAACTGAATACTAACAGGTAATTTATTTCTCACCCTTCCTAATTTCCTTTCTTTCAGGCTACTGAAAGTTCTAAGTATTTACATAATCTTTTTTTTTTTTTAAATAAGATTTATTTATTTATTTATTTATTTGAGAGAGACAGAACAGAGGAGAGTAGGAGGGAGAAGCAGACTCAACGTGGAGCAGGGAGCCCGATGTGGGGCTCAATCCCAGGACCCTGCGATCATGACCTGAGCTGAAGGCAGCCTCTCAACAGACTGAGCCACCCAGGAGCTCCTACATAATCTTTTGATTAGGCAGGAAGGTGACCAAGACCTAGGATATTTGTATTTAGGAAGAACACAGTCTCAGTTCTACTGGGCCCTCCAATTAAGATCTTTTTGATCTTTTGATGTAAGGAAAACTGCCATTTATTAAGCATCTTGTTTGTGCCATGGTCTTCATAATACATTGTCGCACTGAATACTTATAAAGTTTTTATAAAATAGACCAGTGCTTCTAACATTTTAATGGGCATATGAAGATCACCAGCAGATCCTGTTAATGCAGATTTTGATTTTGCAGGTCTGGGATGGAGTTTGAGATTCTGCATTTCCAAAAGGCTTGCAGAAAAAACCAATAATGCTTCTGGTTTGTGGCCCTTATATTGAGTAGCAAGGATAGTGATATCTTATAGATGAAAAAACAGACTTATAGAGGTTAAGTAAATTGCCCAAGTTCCTATGGGCAGTAAGTTTTAGACTGGTAAATAAAATAGGTTTGACCTAGGTCTTTCTGACTCTAAAGCTCAAGATGTGATTAGGGAAGCCAGGAAAAAATGGAAAGAGAGCTTATGTTTTTAAGATTTTATTTATTTGAGAGAGAGAGAATGAGATACAGAGAGCATGAGAGGGGGGAGGGCCAGAGGGAGAAGCAGACTCCCCACCGAGCAGGGAGCCCGATGTGGGACTCGATCCCGGGACTCCAGGATCATGACCTGAGCCGAAGGCAGTCACTTAACCAACTGAGCCCCCCAGGCGCCCTCTAATATTTCTTAAACAGGTCACTTCTCAAGGAGTCAATGGCAGAATCCAGGACTAAATAAAAAAGTCCTAGTTCCCAGCCAAGTGTTTTCCCTTTTGCCTCCCATCAGTCCCCTAATCAGGATCTTTCCTTCGTGCATAGCAAACCATATTTAGAATTGGCTTTGGATTTTTCTCATTACAGGTTTATTGCCAAACCCTGTGCACTCCATGTTGGCATCCAGGACAGTGGTCCCTATCAGGCCCAACCCAATGCCATCCTTGAAAAGGTGTTCGTATCTATTACCAAGGTAAGTGGGCAAAGAAACAGGAAGATTCATGTGAGGGGTTGCTCCGCAGGGCAGGGGAGGATAGAGAGCAAGTATCTCCAAGGGTAGGGATGGGATGGGTAGTCCACATAACTATAAGGAGAGCTTTATCCCCTCAAGGAAATACCTTGGGTCAGGATCCCTTAAATCAAGTTTACATACATTTGAATTTTAGACCTACTAGCCACCACAACCCTGCCCTCCCCAAACACACATCATATCTTGATTTTGTTTGTCCCTGCTCCAGCTTCTCTCATTATCTAGTTACATAATCAAAATAAGGAGGGTACAATAGCCTTTGCATTTGGGTTTTTAATAGTTTTTTTCACTCAGCTTGGGCTGGAGGGAGACGACCAAACAAGGAGGTGTATAAAGGTCAAGGTCTTTGATAATGTAAAATAGGACTTCTTACTAAAAACGAGTTTTGGGATGAAACCTAGAAAGATAAACATCCCTTAAACTGCTGTTGTTATCCCCTCCTTTGCCACTCAGCTAGTCAAAGAAATTTAATGAGAGGGTAGAAGAAAAAGGGATATTCTGACTCTGTTCATACATCTACAGTATCCTGATGAGAAGAGGCTGGAGGGCCTGTCAAAGCAACTGGACTGGGATGTCCGAAAGATCCAATGCTGGTTTCGTCATCGGAGGAATCAGGACAAGCCTCCAACACTCACTAAGTTCTGTGAAAGCATGTAGGTGTGCGTAGGGAGGTGGGGAGTGAGGAGGAAGGTGGGGTGTGACCGGACTGAGGTTTTCTTTTGTTAGGACAGTAGTCGATGTAGAGGGCTAACTCAAATTATTATAGGCAGGAAAGAAGAGAACTGGAAGACTGGTCACCCTTAGTGTCTTGGATGTGCTTGCCACTAAGCTACATGTTGTAGTTCCATGTTGTTCCCTTTTCCCAAACAGACTGGGAGTACCTTCCTATAACTGCACTCATATATAGGTAGATGGGGACACCCCTGTCTGCCTTGGTAGAGATAGTACCGGCTTGCTCTACATTGACATTCTGGTGGGAAACACCCCTTTTCTGGACATGCTATACTTCATTTCACTGGGTTTTTACTAATTATCCTCTGGACACAGAACACAATTCATCATTGTCATGCAAAAAAAAAATTAGGCACTATCATTAGGGAGTGTATGGAAGAAAAGTTGATTAAAGCCAGTATACACTTGTGGAAATCTTTTAAAAAGAGCTGGAAGATGTCTGTTATCATTCTGGCTTTTTAGGTAACAGTATTTGTCCCTATTCTGGGACCTTCTCCTCCATTTTTTTTTTAAGATTTTATTTTTTATTATTATTTTATTTATTTATTTATTTTAAGTAAACTCTATGCCCAATGTGGTGCTCAAACTTACAATTCTGAGATCCAGAGTCACATGCTCTACTGACTGAGCCAGCCAGGTGCCCCTCTGGGAACTTACCGTATTTCTCACCCATAATTGTCTTACCTCCAAGTCTGCTGTCTTAACTTCCTCAGCCTCAAAGACTTTCTTTTGAGTGAATATTCATCTAACCTCTATTCTTTGCCCACCCAGGTGGAGATTCACTTTCTATTTATGTATATTCTGCTATGGAATTAAATTTCTGTGGTCGGTAAGTCTAAACTCTCTCTGGTCCTCTGTTGAATTCTAATCATGCCTGCATCTCTAGAGATAAAAGTTAAATGCCATTAGTTCTTTATTTTCCCCCTCCCCTTTTATTTTTTCTATAATGCCTACAGCCCAGGTTTATATGCTAAATAGATGGTCTTCTGTCTGGCATCTGACTTTAGTAACTTCATAACTTTACTGTTTCTCCCCTCATTTGGGGGAGATAATAGTAATAATTGTAATAGCGTAGTATAATGGTAATGATTAAATCAGCATAGTCTGTGATGGTTTATAAAGCATTTGACAAAAATTCTGTAACCCTTTAACCCTTTAAAAGTGGATAAAACAGGTATTATTCCTGCTTTTCAGTTAATTATCAAAGTCGAAGAATTTCAGGCTTTTTGATCCTGATTCCATGGTGGTTGGATTTTTGGTTGTTTTTTGTTTGTTTGTTTGTTTCACTGTACCACACTATTTTCCTCTAAATTTTATAATTGAAGCATCAAAATACATGAAGTAAAAAGAGGCAGAACTGAAGGAATGGAATAGACAAATACCATGGTTGGTGATTTTAATACTCTTCTTTCAGTAATTGACGAAAATCACTAGACAAAAAATTACTAAGGATGTAGATTTGTACAACACAGTTAACTAATTTGACCTAATTGACATTTAGAGAACACTATGCCAGCAGCTGAAGAATATATATAATCTTCAAGTATACATGGAAAATGAATTGACAGACCATATGCTAGGCCATAAAATAAGTCTCAGTAAATTTTAAAATTTTGAACTCTTACGAGATATGTTCTCTGACCATAGTGGAATTAAGTTAAAAATCAATAATAATAAGATATCTAGAAAATATTTGCAAGTTAAACTCTTCTAAATGACCCATGGATCATATAAATCACAGGGGTGATGAGAAAATATTTAATTGAATGATGCTGAAAACCAAACATACCAAAACTTGTGGGATGCAGCTAAAGCATGCTTAAAGGGGAATTTATAGCTTTAAATGTTTATATTAGAAAAGAAGAAAGCTTTAAAATCAATGATAATAGGTTTTTAAGATCTGGAGCAAGAAGAGCAAAGTAACCCCAAAGTAAGTTGAAGGAAAGAAATAACCAAAAAAAAGTAAAAAGTTAATGAAATATCGTAGACTTGTACCCCTGTAACAAATAATACATTATATGTTAGTTAACTGAATTTAAATTTTTAAAAAATAAATTAATAAAAAAAGAATGAAATAGGCATTAGACAAACAATGGAGAAAATTGATAAAGCCAAAAGCTGGTTCTTTTTAAGGTTTAATTAAAACTGTTAAACCCCTAGAACCCTCCTGCACTGTTGGTGGGAATGCAAGCTGGTGCAACCACTCTGGAAAACAGTATGGAGGTTCCTCAGACAGTTGAAAATAGAGCTACCATATGATCCAGCAATTGCGCTACTGGGTATTTACCACAAAGATACAAATGTAGGGATCCGAAGGGGTATGTGCACCCCAATGTTTATAGCAGCAATGTCCACAATAGCCAAACTGTGGAAAGAGCCAAGATGTCCATCGATAGATGAATGGATAAAGAAGATGGTAGTATATATACACAATGGAATGTTATGCAGCCATCAAAAGGAATGAGATCTTGCCATTTGCAACGACGTGGATGGAACTGCAGGGTGTTACGCTGAGTGAAATAAGTCAATCAGAGAAAGACATGTATCATATGACCTCACTGATATGAGGAATTCTTAATCTCAGGAAACAAACTGAGGGTTGCTGGAGTGGTGGGGGGGTGGGAGGGATGGGGTGGCTGGGTGATAGACATTGGGGAGGGTATGTGCTATGGTGAGTGCTGTGAATTGTGCAAGACTGTTGAATCACAGATCTGTACCTCTGAAACAAATAATGCAATATATGTTAGGAAAAAAAAAAGAAGAAGAAGATAGCAGGAGGGGAAGTATGAAGGGAAGTTAATCGGAGGGGGAGATGTACCATGAGAGACGATGGACTCTGAAAAACAAACTGAGGGTTCTAGAGGGGAGGGGGGTGGGGGGATGGGTTAGCCTGGTGATGGGTATTAAAGAGGGCACGTTCTGCGTGGAGCACTGGGTGTTATGCACTAACAATGAATCATGGAACACTACATCAAAAACTAATGAGGTAATGTATGGTGATTAACATAACAATAAAAAATAAAAAAAAATGTTAAACCCCTAGGGAAAAAAAAGAGAAAACAAATGATCGATGTCAGGGAGAAAAAGGGGCTCTTACTATAGATCCTGTTGATGTTGAAAGGATAATGACAATATTATGAACAATTTAATAGTAGTAGATTCAACAACTTAGATGAAATAGACAAATTCCTTAAAGGACTTAATTGAAACTCCATTAGAGATAATTATTTTTGACTTTTGAATCTTTGGCATGGAGATCTCTCTCTGTTGTCAAATGGAATCACTGTCTTCCCACGTCCCTATTTCCTATATCCTAGATGTTGATGTTTCCAAAAACTATCCTAGAGCTCTCCCTGCTCTTATTTACCTCAAAGTATGGTTTTTCTATTTGTAGTAACACTTTCTTGCTCTAGAAGAAAAACCTAGCCATTTATTGACCCTTTAAGGACCCATACATTCCGTCAAGAAGGATTCCCTTTTTTTCCCCATCTCTCTTGTGCTCCTAGCATAGAGAAAGGGATTTATAGGTGAGCCCGGGTTGAATCCTAAAGGCTGACCTGCATTATCTGTTTTCTCTTAGTCACCATGGTTCTGGGACATCCGACAGTGCTGGCATAGCTATCCGTATCAGGTACGGTCTGAGCCCTTTCAAGACAGGGGCCTTAGGTATGTGTGGAAGGTACGGTAGGCAGGGCAGTCTCAGGGCAGATGGCATGTTTTCTTGGTATTCTTGAGGGATCAGGGGCTGAGTCTCTTTGAGTCATATATTCAGGGTATCTATTTCTGGGGCCCCTGTAACAGTGAAATCTAGCCATCTTTTTTGTTCCAGATTCCCTATTATATTCACCCTAATTGGGCTGGAAAGAAAAGCAGCTTCCTGGTACTTAATGAGACGCTTTCTGGCTCAGGTGTCCTTTTTGAATCAAGGGTAACGTGGAGTCCCCTTAGAAGCATCTTGGTTCTAATTTATACTAGAAAAATGTCAGGGGGCTGCTAACAGGGTAGAAGAAGAGAAGACGTGAGTGTCTTAAATCCCTTGAAAAGCACTGATTTGTCCGGAATTCTAGACACACTGATTTGATTGTGCTATCGTATGTGATAACCTTATCTGATCTCTAAAGGTACCAGCTGAGAATGTGTATGTGGCGGGGCAGAGGGAAGAGGCCTAATTCTCCACACCAGTCCACAGTCTCTTAGCTATTACAGATCTCGGAAGATGACGGGGAGAAAGGGTGTCTAATAATTTGGGGTATTGGTCCTCTGAGACAGAGAAAGTTGCAGAGATGGAATGAATTTTTGACTAGCTGGTATTCTAACTACTCCTTTCCTCTCTTCCAGCCTCTCACAAGTGGGCTTTATTACTATTATATCATGGAATTGGCCTTCTATTGGTCTCTTATGTTTTCTCAGTTTACAGACATTAAACGAAAGGTAAGGACACTGGCTCCCCTCAACTCTGATTGATTGCACCCTCCTCCTTTCTAGCAGCCACCATTACTGCTATTGTGGGTTCTCTGCCCTGCCTGGGACCACCGAAGAAGGAGAAAGTAGGTTGGATGAGACTGTTAGCTCTTGGTAATGTTCTCAGAAATGAGACTTGACTAATGATGAAGTAAGTATATTTGAGGCATTCAGGGCAGCCCAGGATAAGAATGGTTAACCAGCTAAAAAGCATACCCTTTTCCTTAGTTTTCTCTAAGGCTCTTACATATATACATATATAAAGCTCTGGAAATTAGTCAGAACTTAGGGATAGCAAGGCGTCATCTAGGAAAAGGCCTGCTTTCAAAAAAGCAAGATCTGGCTTTTGTTTTGCATTGGAGATCCTTGCTCTCACTCTGTTCTCCATTCTTGGTAACTCCACCTACTCAAAGAATGTCAACTGTAAAGGGTTTTAGATGACTTATTTTACTGTTTTCTTGCTATTGTTTAGGAAACAAAGATTCAGAGAAGTGAGAGTTGACTTGCCTACATAGTGACAAAATTGGAAATGACTTAAGTTTTTTATAAGCAGACAGAAAGGGCAGAATCTTTACTTTTTGTTTGTATGCACCTGTAACAATGTGGTTCCAGCAGCTCTAACTTTAATCTGTCACTAACTCATGATTATCTTTGGTGAGGAAAATCAGGGTTGGCATTTATGGGAATCGATTGACACTAATCTGGGTTATTAGTTGTTGTATAATCTAGAAGCTCAATCCTCAGTTCGGATGCCTTTCACTCTCCGATGGTCAGGAGACACAGGTCCCTTATTAAAAATTTATTTTTAAACACAACACAGGGCACCTGGGTGGCTCAGTTGGTTAAGTGACTGCCTTCGGCTCAGGTCATGATCCTGGAGTCCCAGGATCGAGTCCCACATCGGGCTTCCTGCTTAGCAAGGAGTCTGCTTCTCCTTCTGACCCTCCCCCCTTTGTGCTCTCTCTCTCATTCTCTCTCTCTCTCAAATAAATAAATAAAATCTTTAAAAAAAATAAAAAAATAAACACAACACATATAAAAAGGTTTGTAATATATATGTGGGTTTTTGGGTTTTTTTAAGATTTTATTTATTTATTTGACAGAGAGAGACACAGCGAGAGAGGGAACACAAGCAGGGGGAGTGGGAAAGGGAGAAGCAGGCTTCCTGCCGAGCAGGGAGCCCCATGTGGGACTCGATCCCAGGACCCTGGGATCATGACCTGAGCCGAAGGCAGACGCTGAACGACTGAGCCACCCAGGTGCCTCTATATGTGGGTTTTAAAACATACTAGAACGTATACTTGTGAACCCATCCCCAGCTCAAGAACTACAACCTACCATTGTATCTATGTGGAGAGCACAGACTTCTCATCCTTGTTTCTCTGACCCAAATTCACCTGTCTTCTCCCATCCTCTGTCCATCAGTGGGCTGAGAAGTATTTATAAGACATGTCTGATAACAGGTATTTAAAGATTTCTCTGAGTTTAACCTTGGCATTTGAACCCAAGAGGAAAATAGAGCTTTAAATCTGAAAGCAGAAGGTGCTTACAGTTAAGATAGATTATTTAGCATTTCTCTGAAACTTTTTAGAAGAGTTTAGCTTCACCCCTCCACAAACCTCTCCTGTTAGGTCCCTTTGGTTGAAATTTCCTTCATCAAAACAGTCTTAGAATCTTAAAGATACTGCTTTTGGTGTGATTACCACCTGGGAAATTATTTCCAAGTGTCAGGTCAGCATACATGGTCTACATACTCTGCAGCGTCCAAACAAAATTGTTATTTTCTGTGCTTTGACCTATATTAACATAGATTATGGGTCAGTTACTGGTGTAGAGTTTTGGGTCAAATGCTAGGGTGCTCCATAAGGGAAAGTTTAAACAAAATAGAACCTCTACGGCCTTGCCTTTACCCGCCTCTTCTATTTCTGTTCCATCCTAGGACTTCCTGATCATGTTTGTGCATCACTTGGCCACCATTGGGCTCATCACCTTCTCCTACATCAACAACATGGTTCGGGTGGGAACTCTGGTCATGTGTTTACACGATGCCTCAGACTTCTTGCTGGAGGTAAGACCCCCCCTGCCATCCTCTCTTCCCTCATTATTCCTCTTTCTCTACTTTCCTTCCTATCTGAGAATTGGCTTTCTCCCCAACTCAATTCTTTTTCTTCCCCCACCCCCCAATTCAGTTCTTCTCTTCCTTTCTCCAGGCAGCCAAACTGGCCAATTATGCCAAATACCAGCGTCTCTGTGACACCCTTTTTGTGATCTTCAGTGCAGTTTTTGTGGTCACTCGTCTAGGAATCTACCCATTCTGGTAAGTGTCAGGGCCATGGAGCAGTGGTCAGTATGTAGCTAATGATACCTTTTGCCAATTCAGGGAAGAGGCCACCAAAAAACCCTATTGCCCTTCCTTATCCTGGGCCTAACCTGACCCCTTATGGACTCTCACGGGACCTTACTTCCCTCACACAGTATTTCTAGGAAGATGTGATCCAGACTGAGAACATCCAACTCACTTGCCTGTGGCTTTCCAGACTCCCCTCTGAGGAACAAGCCCTCCTTTGATGCCTAAGTAATTCCTTTGCCTTCTTTTGCGCTGACTGCAAAATTCTCTGGCTCTTCTTATTTTCCTGCTCTTATGCCCTCCCCCACCGTAACCAACACACACACCCCTCTCACTCGTACACTCACTGCTTTCTGTACAAAGCCCATGACTGTAGGTCGGAGATCGTCCTTTGTCTGAGGGAGTCAACTACCAACTCCCCTGTCTGTGCCTAACAATCTGAGTAATGACTAGGATCATGATTAAAATTGCTGCCCCAGTTTTGTGAAACTCTTCATATTTGAAACGATTAATGATAGGGCTTAATCCATCAGTTCCTGAGATTTACATATCTTTCCCTGCCTTTTAAGATAGAAAACTTCATAGGCCCCCTTTCTTTATCTTTTCTCACTGTGGATGAATATACCTGGCATTTCAGCTGTTAGAATGTATAGAGAGAAAACATACTGGGTTCTGCTTCCCAGGGAACTGGGCTTTATTCCTATCTACCTGGCTTTGACTCTAGAATCTCACCACTGGCCTCCTCTTCTAGGATTCTGAACACGACCTTCTTTGAGAGCTGGGAGATGATCGGGCCTTATCCCTCCTGGTGGCTTTTCAACGGTCTTCTCCTGATCCTGCAGGTTCTCCATGTCATCTGGTCCTACCTAATTGTGCGAATTGCTTTCAAAGCTTTGATCCGAGGAAAGGTGAGGAGGAAAGATGGCTTCTTTCCTTGGGGCTGGGTAGCAAGATAGGTATTACTCAGTAGACCTTCTCTATCTAGCTTAGTGAGCCGCAGCTACTCAAGCACACCCAGCAGAAAGCTTAGGACTCCAGAGTTTTCACCTTTTCTCTTAAGTGTTGAGCCTGTTAAGACATGACTTAGAGGGGTGCCTTGCTGGCTTAGTCAATAGAGCATGTGACTCTTGATCTCTGGGTTGTGAGTTGGGGCCCCACGTTGGGTGTAGAGATTACTAAAAAATAAAAAAGAAAGAAAGAAAGAAAGACAGATGCAGGAGGAAGGATCTGCCTTCCTCCTGTCCCTTAGGAATGACTATGTTAAATAATGAACAGTATTACATTTCGAGATGCCCTCACCCATTTCTTACCCCTTATCTACCTACTTCAGTGCATTTCGTATTTTTGTTTTTTAGCACAGAAAAACTCTAAACTATGAACTGTATAAAAGCGGCCGTGTTTGATTGCCTAAGAATGGCATGGTAGTTCGCAAGGCACCCCAAGATGATCACACTGCGATGTTCAAGATGTGGGGCTACGTACTGGCCTTACCCCGCTGTTGTATGAGGCGGGGGTCCTGAATGAGATAGGTATTTAGGGTTTCAAATACCCACCTTACGCTGAGATCCCAAAAATACAAAGAAAGGAGTCATTTAATGATCAAACTCATAGCTGAAGTGTGCAAATTCTGAAGCAGTCAGGTGGGGACTGGCCCGTGGGCTAGGGATTCAGCCTGCAGCAATACAGAGCGCTGGGGGGTGGGGCTGTCTGCCAGGGGAGACCCTGAGTCTAGGACAGAGGGATGGAATGCAGCCCGGGCATATATGATCTGTTGTGTCCCTGTTCCTTATGGCTGCAGCTGGTTTTAGAACTTGCTCAGCGTGCCTGTGCATCCTGCTGTAGCTTCTGGGCTACTGGACATCTCTCTTCTCCCCTGCTTTTCTTTCCTGACCAGGTTACCTATCCAGGAAGGATTAGACCCAGACTCTGTACCCTCCACTCTTTTCTCACCTCCTTCCTTTTTTCTGTGCCTGGTGGGATTTGGACAGTTTCATCTCTTGCATGTAAGTGTATCTGTGCTTCTAGCGCTCAGTAAAGCACGTCCGTCTGAATGTGTCTCTCTTCCTTCCTGCTTTCCTTCCTGTTCCCCGTGTTGTCTCCGAGCATGCCTCTCTCCTGACCCTGTGGGGCCATTGTTGACTGGAGCTCAAGTTGCCAGATTCTTGTTCGTAAATGGAGACAAGAGTTGAGTCTACTCTTTATTTTTTCCCCTTTTTGCGCTTCCCTTTACCTCAAATCTAGATAGACTCTGCCCTCTGGTAGAAACTTCCTAAAGGTCAGGTAATCACTTGCTTGGGTTCAGAGGTCAGCAGCTGCAGTCTTAGAGCTAACCAAAGCAAGTGCCCCACGCCTTGGCAACAGCCTTTGTAGCTCTGTTCCTTTCTCACCCCCTTCTCTCCTTTACTTTTTCTTTTTTTAACAAAACACACTGAGGGGCACCTGGCTGGCTCAGTCCGTAGAGCAGGCAACTCTTAATCTCAGAGTTGTGAATTCAAGCCCCACACTGGGTGCAGAGCTTACTTAACAAAACAAAAATTAAAAAACCCCACATCGATTATCCTTCAGTTCTGGAGGTCAGAAGTCTGGCAGGTCTCACTGGGTTTCTCTTCTTTACTTTTGATGGTCCATGATAGAGAACTGGAAATACTCTGGTGTCATAGGACCGAGTCCAGGAAGAGGAGAACGACAGAAAAAGGCCTAGTTCTGGATCAGCTCTGGGGATAAACAAAAGTCAGGATGACCAATATGAGTAACTCCAGTGGCCGCCACCACCGGAACATAGAAGCAATGACGACAGCCACCTGTGTTGTTTGTACTGGTCTTTTCTAGTGTTTGAGGTAGGAGAGGAGAGAGAGCGCCTGGAGTTTCCCTCAGGCCTACACCCGGACTCAGTGAATGACTTCAGCTCTCTCAGGCTAGTCCTGAGAGACACACCCTTACCAGCACAGCTTCTTGTTCCACAGGGAACAGAGATGATGAGAGAGACACCGAGAAAGAGGCAAAGGATAATCCCAGCCATAGACATGGCCCAGATAGTATTTTGAGTCAGGTGCTGCCAGAAAGTAGGCCACAGTGGGAGCAGTGCCCAGACCTGGGCTCCGTGGGCTGAAGTCTGTCTTAAAATAGCAGACAAGTTCTTTCCTCACCTTTCCCACCTTTGGCCCCATCCCACCCAGGTGTCTAAGGATGACCGCAGTGATGTGGAAAGCAGCTCAGAGGAAGAAGATGTGACCACCAACCCCAAGAGCGCCTGTGGCAGCAGCTCCAGCAATGGTGCCAATCGGGTGAACGGTCACCCGGGAAGCAGCTACTGGGCTGAGGAGTGAGGCGGTGGGTGTGGGGACCACAGCACACATGGACTCGTAGGGCCACCGGCAGCCTCCTCCTCTTGGGCCTCCCCACATCTACACGCTTGTGACTAGGGGGTCTGCAGGGCACTGAGGAGAATCAAAGAAGCAAATATTTTCACTTTTTTAAAAAAAACTCTGCCATTTTGTATTTAATAGCCTCCAGGTTCTTTCAGTAATGTTATTTGCTTCTGTGTGTGTGTGTGTGTGTGCACGCACTCGTGCATGCGTGTGTGTCTGTGTGTGTGTGCACGCACCCGTGCATGCGTGTGTGTGTGTGCGCGTGCGCGTGTATGTACGTGTGCATACGCGTTTTTGCATGTGCATGAGTTTCATTTCCTGAGTTGGGGCACAATTCTAGACTGGGGCCCCTAGGCCTTGTGCCCCTTCTGAACCCACCTCAACCCCAGATTTGGCTGCATCTTGAATAATGCTGGCTCTGGACTGTCCCCTCCCTCGTGGTCCATGGCTCCCGAAGCTCAGGCCATCTGAACAGGACAGTAAAGTTCAGCTCCAGGTTTCTGCACTGTTCCTCCTTGGAGTTGGAATATTTCACATGAAGTTGTACAGAAACAGACAACCATGGTTGGGATGACCAAGATTTCTGTGGCCCCTAGCTAGATTCCCTTCCTGCCACCTGGTGATTACAGGGACAGCTGCTGATACCCTGCTCTTTACTAAATGGTACACAGGGAGTTGGGGGGGGGTGGCAGAGGGTGCGCTGAAGGCCAGAGGAGGACAACAGCCACTGGGTGAACCGTTGACGGTTTATACTATTGTTTACTCTTCTGTGATTAAAAGTGCTTCCACCCTCCTCTGCCGTCTCAGCCTCTTTAGTGACTCTATCCCCAATTCCCTGAATCCATAAGCTAAGTAAGAAAATTTTCAGGTCTGATTCTAAAGGTCCTTAGACACCCAATTTTTCCTTTCTGTGCATGCTGGGAAGAGAGTGCCTATACTCTATGGCTTTATGTGTTAAGAAAAAAATTAAACATGCATGGTGGTCACAAAAAATACTGGGCAGATCAAAGTATGGGTATCACCAAACCAACAAAGGATTTGGTTGAAGACACTTTTAGTGAGATACCTGTATTTCCCACCCAGAGACTACCAGCTAACACTTAAAAGATTGTGATAAATGAGTCTGAGATGTTTTCTCTTTTAGTTCTGTTTTCTTTTAGCTATGGAAAAACAGTCTTCCTAATCCAGACTTTTCTGTAGTTTAGGTCTTGGCAAAATTACCAATGGTAGTATTCATCTCAGGATAGTTTTCCATTTAGTGAATATTCAGATTATCAAAATATTTCCAGATGTTCTTGTGTACATTAAGGCTTATGAAATACTTCATTGTCAGGGAGATGGATGGAAATTGAAGAAAAAGGTTACTGTTCTAAGAATCAGGTACTCACTTGGTGTTCATTGACCTTATTGGGATATAGACCCTGCTAAAATTACCTTACTGAGCGGCTGGCCTTTTTTTTTTTTTTTTTTTCTTTTTTTTAAGAGAGAGCATGCACAAGTGGGGTTAGGAGCAGAGGGAAAGAGAATCTCAAGCAGGCCCCACCCCCGGACCCAACGTAGGGCTCAATCCCACAACCCTAAGTTCACGACCTGAGCAGAAATCAAGAGTCAGATGCTTAAACAACTGAGCCACCCAGGCGCCCCTGAGTAGCTGGCTTTTAAAAAGACTTACCTTGGGGCGTGTGAAAATTATTTCTGAAAAATCTTACATAGTTATTTGGTCAGAACTAGCCTGAAGTCTTACATTTAGTTCCTCAACTTGCCATATTGTTGAAAAGACTAGTAATTGTGAGATATGAATGAAATACTTTTAAAAGATATGATTTTAAGCCTTTTGAAATCTGAACAACTACTCTAAATCTAGGGCTAGTTGTCCCAGTTAATCTGACAGAAGATGCAACTGAATGGTATAATAGTAAAAATAATAATAGATAACACATAATAACTCTTTATTACATGCCAGGCACTATATTAAGCACTTCACATATGATAAAAATGAAGCAAAAAGAAGTTAACTTGCCTAAGGCCAAACAGCTAATAAAGAATCAAACCCAGTGTCACTTTTTTTTTTTTTTGGAGGGGGGTGAGAGAGAATCTCAAGCAGGCTCCATGCTCAGCGTGGGGCTCAATCCCACTACCCCAAGATCACAACCCAAGCTGAAACCAAGAGTCAGATGTTCAACCAACTGCACCATCCAGGTGCCCCAAGCACTCGACTTCTGATCTCAGCTCAGGTCTTGATCTCAGGGTCATGAGTTCAAGCCCTGTGCTGGGCTCCACACTGGGTGTGGAGCTTAAAAAAAAAAAGAAGAAGAATGTCATGTAGAGCTGACATACATCACTTCCACTGTGTTCTACTGATCAAAGTAAGTCACAGGGACCACCTAGATTCAAGAGGGTGGTGAGAGAGACTATACTACCTCAATGAAGAGGAGCAAGGCTCACCGCAGAAGAGCATGTGCAATGGGACATACAGTTACATTCATCTTTGAAAAATTCTAACTCCCACATTGAGGAAACTGAGTCTTAGAAACTGCTTAAAAAACACAAACATAGGGGCACTTGGAGTGGCTCAGTCAGTTAAGCATCTGCCTTTGGCTGGGGTCATGATCTCAGGGTCCTGGGATTGAACCCTGCATTGGGCTCCCCGCTCAATGGCCGGGGGGGGTCTGCTTCACCTCTCCCTCTGCCCCTCCCCTCCCCCTGCTCGTGCTCTCTCTCTCTCTCAAGTAAATAAATAAAATCTTCACACACACACACCAGGGCACCTGGCTGGCTCAGTTGGTAGAACATGCAACTCTTGATCTCAGGGTCATGAGTTCAAGCCCCACATTGGGTGTAGAGATTACTTTAAAAAACAAAAAACCACAAACAGATTGCCCATCATGCATCATGAGGTTTCATGTTATCGCAATCCTAAAAATAATCATGAGTTTATTTTTTTTTAAAGATTTATGTGTTTATTTATTTATTTGAGAGAGCGAGAATGGGAGAGAGAGAGAGTACATGAGAGAGGGGAGGGTTAGAGGGAGAAGCAGGCTCCTCGCTGAGCAGGGACCCCGATGCGGGACTCGATCCAGGGACTACGGGATCATGACCCGAGTCGAAGGCAGTCGCCCAACCAACTGAGCCACCCAGGCGCCCCAATAATCACGAGTTTAGTTCGTAGGTGATTCAGTATGCTGATTGTAAACCAAATTCTTCAGACTTTATATCCAGTATTCATGCAAGGAAACATTTTCAGTTCAATAAAATATTTGTTAAGTGCCTACTTTATGATAGGCACTGTGGCAGGAAGTGGGGACACAAAGATGAACAAGATCTGGTTTCTACTCTCAAAGAGCTCATATACCCCCATAAGGGGGGAAAATAGTGCAAAAAAGAACTTTCTAAATTATTCTTTGCAAGTTGGGAGAAAACTTGAAAGTGGAGCTTGGCCATTAAAGATGAGTAGAGTTTTGCCAGGAAAATGGGAATGGAAAGGTATGTTTAGAAGAGATGTCAAAGTATATGAAAGATACCAGCTCCGGCTTAATGTGGGCTAAAATAACCTGAGACAAACATCTAGAAATGGCAGGAAAAGGTTTTTTTTGTGTTTTTTTTTAAGATTTTATTTATTTATCTGAGAGAGAGAGAATGAGAGACAGAGAGCACAAGAGGGAAGAGGGTCAGAGGGAGAAGCAGACTCCCCACTGAGCAGGGAGCCCAAGACGGGACTCGATCCCGGGACTCCAGGATCATGACCTGAGCCGAAGGCAGTCGCTTAACCAACTGAGCCACCCAGCCGCCCCAGGAGAAGGTTTTGTTTTGTTTTGTTTGTAAGTTTGTTTGGACACCAAAGACAAAATGAAAGGAACTGAAAACTAGTGAAGGTAAAACAGCTGATTCAGTTACTAGAGCGATAAGGGAACATGACGGAAGGACTTGGGTTCTAAAGCTGACAAGAGACAAGAGCATGCAGGAAGCTGGAAATGAGACCTCCAGTTAAAGCTGGGACGCTGAGATAGCAACAGCCTTAGTGAAAGGTGGGAAACTATGAACAATTCATCCAGTTGGCAAAAGAAGGAAGCAAGGAACTTTGCTTGGGCTTGTGGGGTCAGGAGACTCAAGAATTTCCTCAAATTCTGGGCCCACACTCCATGGGAATTTGAGAACTTAAATACACACTTCCTGTGTGGTCTAGGAAACATCATGACCCCCCACCCCCACCCCATCCCCACCCCATCCCCAGGTAAGAACTTGCATGAAAATGGCCTCAGATCAGTTACCCATGGCACTGCTCTGGAGAGACAGGTGCATGATGATACAGATGCCATGGGATTCTTACACTGCTACCACCACCTCCCAAATAAAAAAGCTCTGAAAGACTACCTCAGTCAAACCTGCAAGACCTATAACTAACAAAATACTAGTATCCAGAATATACATAACTAAAGAAACAACAAAGACAACCCAATAGCAAGACAAAGGCAGGGGAGGGAGTAAAGGATATGAATAGGTGATTTCCAGAGGAAGAATATGCTAATGGATAATAAATCAATTAAAGGGCACCTGGGTGGCTCAGTCAGTTAAGCGTCTGCCTTCAGCTCAGGTCATGATCCCAGGGTCCTGGGATCGAGCCCCCAGTCAGGCTCCCTGCTCGGCGGGGAGTCTGCTTCTCCCTCTGCCCCTCCCCACATGCTTGCATTCTCTGTCTCTCTGAAATAAATAAATAAAATCTTTTTTAAAATGAAATTAATTAATTAATTAAAATGGTGCTCTAGGGCGCCTGGGTGGCTCAGTCGGTTAAGCGTCTGCCTTCGGCTCAGGTCATGATCCCAGGCTCTTCAGATCGAGTCCCGCATCGGGATCCCTGCTCTGCGGGGAGCCTGCTTCTCCGTCTCCTCTCCACTTGTGCTCTCTCTCACTATCTCTGTCTCTCTCTCTGATAAATAAATAAAATCTAAAAAAAAAAAAGAATTTAAATAAAAAAATAAAAAGGTGCTCTACCTTACTGGAAATCAATAATATGTAAATTAAAACTAACAGAAACCACTTCACATCACTTTGAAAAACTTAACAAAAACTAGTAAAGCTAAATATTAGTAATATTAGTAATAATTACTCTTGGAAAAACTAGTAGATGGGCCCAAGAAAACATACAAGGATACTCATCGAATTGCTATTTGTAAGAGGGAAAAAGTGGAGATGA